AGCGCGGCTCCGGGCTGGAGTGACTGGGGTGCGTGTTGCCCTAACCATGGCTGTTCTCCTCATGGTGACACCACTGGGAGGGTGACTGTGGCTTGCATGTCACATGCCATCTGTTTGCTTTCACATTCAGTCAAGCTTGTCACTTAAACTGATCAGAATCAGTAGGTGGTTGTCAAACTGAGATATCGGTTAACTTGTAGAATCCTAAAACATGTTTTTTTAACGTTAAACTTTAGCGTTTTATTGTGTCTGAAAACAGCAGTGACCGTCTGCCTTGGAGGTCCCTATCGGCCCTGCCTTTGAGTTCAGCCTGGGGGCTGGGGTTCCCCTGTTCCAATTTTGCACAACACACCCATGATGAGTCCTCAAAAATTCCCCGCCCGACTTCCTCACACTGTTAGGAAGGCTTCAGGAGGCTTAGGAGACAGTCCGACCACGTCAGCCCTCTGATTTACCCCGAGTCCGACAGTCGTCTCCGGAGCTTTGGGGACCAAGCCCTGCGGCTTCAAGCGTGTGGGTGTCTGTGTCCACGGCAACGACAGAGCACTTCCTTTTTAGCTCACATGTCGTTGGTTTGCACAGAATTTCGTTAAACTCTGATGGTAGCCATTGCACCTGGTGTGGGCAGTCTGGGTGCAGACACGTGGGTTTTGGGGGACTTGCAGCTTCACAGAGGAAATGGCCGAGGTTTGCAGAGCGCAGCCGCCAGCCCCCAGCTGCCAGTGAGCGGGGCTCGGTCTCCCAGAACGAACTGCATGGCCAGCCAGTCGGTGATGGGAAGACCTATCGGGCAGCTTCACAGAGACCTCGTTTATTTGGTGAGAAGCAAAGCAAGATGGAGCTGAATTTCATCAGTGGGCGGCCAGGCCTGAGCTTCAGTGTGGCTGTCACAGGTCCCGTCCCGCGTCTATTACGCGTGTGTCTGTCTTTTGTTGAATGCATTCCCTTGCAAGGCAGCATTTATTCTACACTCACGGGCCTCTCTCTCCCCCTCGCGTTGCAAGGTTCCCAAACGTGGGAAATCTGCTGTTTGATTTTACTGGGAAACTGGGAAAGGGAACAGTGTGTTTTTCCAGGACCCATCAGCTCCAAGTCAAGTTGTTGTCCTTCAATCTTAGTTGTGGAGGGTGCAGCTCAGCTCTAAGTCCAGTTGCCACTTTCAGTCTAGTTGTGGGGGGCAGGCGTAGCCCACCATCCCATGCGGGAGTCGAACCAGCAACCTTGCTGTTAGGAGCA